CGTTCCATCCTGTTATCTCAGGTAACCGGCTAGATGGGAGCTGTGGAGGGGTGGGGCACAACTCTTACAAATGAGGCTTTCTGGAGCCAGGAAATCCCTTTATCCCACCACTCAATTCTGTGCCGTGAGAAATCTTTTAATTTCCTCCTTTTAAATGGGCCAATTTACTGCTGGTGGCAAAACGGCCAGAGAGAGTTGATAGAAAGTTGGCCGCTGGCACCCCATTTTTTTTTTCACAGCCCATGTTAAAGTATTGTGTGCTGCCACTTGCCCCTTACTACTGACCTCTGTGGTGGCACTAGACCGCACCAGAGGCAGAAGAGTCCAGCTCACTTCTCCTTCTTATCTGCCTTTTTAAAGTCATCCGTGAGTGCCGGCTTTCTCTCTGCTCCCACTCTGAATGAAATCCTCTTCAGCATGTACTTCCTCTAGGATTAAACTACTATGATGCACAGTGTGTGGCAAAGAAGAAAAAAAAAAAAGGAAAGGCTTGTGTTTAAAATCATTTTAACTCCATTTGCTTTCTCCCCACTGGAAGTAGTCATTCACCCATCCCTGAATTGGTGGGAAATGTTTGGCACGTAATCTGCTGTCTCTGAACATCTGAATGGGATGGTGCCTTGGACCATATCACCGGGGTGACCCTTCTCTGTCCTGTTTCATGAGTCAGGTAGCAAATCCCACTTGAATCTGTAACATAAAAAGTTGGTGACCTGAAGTTTGGTAAAGCACTCTAATCGAACTTTATTTTTCTATGTATTTTTTTTTTTTGGCAACATGTGAGTGTTTTTAAAATAAAGCCTCTGTGTTTTTATTAGACACCTGTGTGTGGTCTTCAGATTCTTACTAACTGGTTTCTTTTTAGTGCATTTTCCCAGGGGCCACGTTCTCACAGCTCCTTTGGCTGGCCTGACTAGCCCATGGGACCACCAAATCAATCAAAGTGGCAATACAGCACGAAGCCAATGAGGGCCATTCTTTCAGCAGTGGCTTCTCCTCCCATCCTGTTAAATTTCTGCCTGTGCTGAATAATCACCTGTAGCCACTGTTACTGCTACACCTGTAATCTCAGCACTCGGAAGGTAGAGGCAGGAGCGTCAGAAGTTCAAAGCCATTCTTTGGCTACATAGTGAGTTTGAGACCAACCCGCTACATGAGACCCCATCTCAAAAATAAAAAAATCTCAAAAATAAAATAATCAGTCTTGTGAGTAAATGAAGACTTTTTACGTATTCAGTGACCCTGAGGGAATAGCACAGTGACCACAGCAGTTTCCAAAATGTCCCTTTTCTTGTCTTCCCTGGCTCTCTCACTCCTAAACTCGTCACCGGTGTCCAAAGTCCTGTTAACCTCTGGTAAGTGATGCCTCCTCCGAAATGAAATCCCAAGTCCACAGCCATCCCACCCTGAAGTGCCCAGTCTCCTCCGAAAGGGGATTGCAAGTGTTGATGGTAAGTTTTATTACTGCGATAGAACGTGTAAACAGCCTACCCCAGCCCCTACACATACACCTTCCCGAAGCCCCACAAAGTGCCTCCTGCACCTGATGGCCCGTGAGGGTTGGTGGTCTCCTCCCTCCTTCAAGGAAATAAAAGCTTACGGGGGAAGACGCCTACTTTAGGTAAAACATACCATAATTCAAAGTGTGCCCTAATCCTTTAAGTACATTGTACACACAGGTGGGGCTTCTTGTAGCAGGCACGAACCATGAGGTTTAATTTGCACAAATCTATAGCCACCCTCCCATCCCATAGAAGGCCATTAACTCTCCAATTACAAAGTCTCTTGCAGCAAATTAACAGATGTCCTCTTTAAAAAAAAAAAAAAGTAAACCATTTAAAAGTAACTAATGCAGGAAATTAAACAAACTCTCCCATCTTTAAAGAAAATCCCCTCTGCCTCCTTTTTTTTTTGTCCTGTTTCCAACTTTCCCTAATATCTCTGCTAAGCTCACAGCCATCTCCTCCCCCACTGGTTCCCCTTGGCATGCCACATACTCATGCCACTTGAAACACATTGTCAACCTGCCTTTCAGTTTACTTCCTGTGGAAGTTTCTAGAGCTGCAGAATTTTGACGAGTCTGATGCTGCTGGCTCTCCTGAAGCCTCCCTTAAGAAGACTTGTGTGGCCATAAGGTCGAATATGTGTGGGAGGCCTATATCCAACATTTATTTTTCCTTTTTAACTGTACACGTCAAATCATTTTTCTGGGATGATATAAATGCCACTCCCAGCCAAGCTAACCTAGGAGGAACAGCATCCACAAAGAGAAGGTCACCTAGCTCGGGTGTCCCGGAAACAAGCCCTAGGATGGAGAGTCGTACACGACAACTTTGAGGATCTTGGCAGGTGCACCTGGAAGGCAGTGAAGCAGGCAGAGCCGAGAAGAGCGACTCTAACTTGAAGTTCATCACCACTCCGTGCAGCTCGAAAGCCAAGGGGTCTCCTTCTGAGAAAAGTGGGATGGGGCATTTGACCTCTGCATCAGCTGCATCCTGAAGATGGGTGGAACCTTGAACAGTACGGTTTCTTTGTGACTAGAGCAACAGCCACTAAGGGGCACAGTGGCCAATCACTGTCACATTGGCTCATAGGAGCGACAGTTTCCTCAGCAGCTCGTCAGGAGGGCATCAGCTGGGGAGACCTGGTTGTACACTGTGGAACCCACTGTGAGTCATGGGATCCTTTTTTCTGGTCACCCTGAGGGTCCCAGTCAGTGACATTCTTTACACTATCGAACTTGGTGTCGGGTAGGTCAGACTGAGCTTGGAGTGAGTGATGACTTCTGCACCCAGACATCCAGACTCTGTTCTTTCCATGGCCATCAGGAACATGTCACCAAAGCATGTTTTTCAATGCCAGGAGTAATTTACTGCTCACGAGAAAGGACATGAACGAGAGTCCCGGGACACAAATGGCTCCTAGTTTAGCCATACACTGGCTTCCCTGGGGACTTTCCCAGACAGAGTAGCCCATGAAAAAGGCTGACCCAATGTCTACAAGGCTCTCTGGAGAGCCTCCAGGTATATCCTTGACTTGTGCCCTGAACTCATGCTGGGTGAGAGGGGAGGCTGAAAGCACAGGGTTAAGACCCAGCCAAGCAATTTTATCTGGGCAGTCTCCACCTATTTCTCCTGAGTTCAATAATGGGAGAGCCTTCCTAAGGAGCTGATGGATAAAGAGGAAAGGCACAGTCAGAAGTCCCATCTGCTGGGTAGACAACTATAAGATACTCTCTGTGGTTTGGATCCAATATGCCCCACCTGCTCACAAGCTCATGTATGAGAAGCTTGGTCCCTGATGATTCAGGTTTGAAGGGACAGATCCATTAAGAGGTGGATGTACAAGGCTGGCAAAATGGCTGAGCAGGTAAAGGTGTCTGCCACCTTGTCTGATGGACTGAATTGGATCCCTGGGCCCCACGTGGTGGAGAGAACCAAGTCCTGAAAGTTGTTTTCTGACTTGCACACATGCATGCATTCAAACACATACCACACACATAGATAGATAGATAGATAGATAGATAGATAGATAGATAGATAGATAGATAGATAGATAGATAGATAGATGTAACAGTTTGGATCTAGTAGAAGGAGACCACCCTCAAGGGTCAGGTCTCATGGGAGTGGGTTAGTTCCCACGGGAGAATGAGTTGTCTATAAGGAGCAACCCTGGCTCTTGCTTCCTAATTAGCCATGGGACAGCTCACACATGTCCCCGCCATGCAGTGAATCCCTCATCAGAAGCCAAGGCTGGCTTCTTATTCTTGGGCTTCCAAAGCTATGAGATGAAATTGCCTTCCTCCCTTTATAAAGTGCCCAGCCTCAGGTCTTTTACTGAAGCAACAGAGAAGAAGAAGAAGAAGAAGAAGAAGAAGAAGAAGAAGAAGAAGAAGAAGAAGAAGAAGAAGAAGAAGAAGAAGAAGAAGAAGAACACCTGCAGTCAAAATTTTAACGCGTTTACGCGTTTTGGGTGCATGGCAGAATGAGTGCGGGTCTTACTTCCCTACTGATAGATACCCAACACTAGAATTTTCTCTCAAACCCCAGGAGTGCCCACATCCCCCAGGCGCACCTTCGTGGTGTGCCCAAGTTCAGTGGAACTTAGCATCTACTGAAAAGCAGACAAAGGCTCAGTAGCCCTCTCAACATCCATTGTACGGTGAGCCCCGGGAAGCAGGGCTCCCACGTCTGTATTCTTAGTGCTAATGTCCGTAGCTACAAACCCACGTCTTAAGCCTTTTTACACCTGGTTTGTCTCTTCAGCCTTGATGGTGCCAAGGCTCAGGGGGAACCACATGCAGTACCCTTTGCTCTTTCTTCTT